GAATGTTCCTGTTTACTAGTTACTCTGTAAAACGGTAATCAGTAACTATTTTTACTGCTTCATGAAAGTAATCGGTTGCATGATCTGTTTGTTTCACTGGAGCGCTACCTTCAGCATGCGCTGGGTGGTTAGCAGCCGGGATGAAAATGGTCGATTGCTCCTTCTGGTTTGGGGGGGGAGAGTTTGTGCCTCAAATGAGTTGAGGTGTCTCGGGATCTTTATTCACAATGATGCGAAGGTGGATTATAAGGTCGGCTGGAAGATGTTGAGTCAGTAGAAATGTGGGCATTGTGTCAGACTGTCAGGGTAGGAAGAGAGCTGAAGTTTTATCCCTAGAATGCCTGCCAGGCTTGGAGATCGGAGGGAAGCCTGGAGTAGTGCTGCTGCTCCTTTGTGTTAATAGGAACCAGTTGAGGTGCTTCTCCCTTGTGCCTTCGCTTTGGAGGGGTTTTTTTTTTTCCAGCACATCCAACTGGAAGGATATCCAGACCTGGGAAGATCCCAGGAGGATCTGGAAGGCATTGCTGGGGAAACAGACAATTGTTGTATTATGGAAAATTGTTTTAAAAAACATCTTTACGGACTGTAAATGTTTCATTAGCTTTCCTTTGTCATGTTAGAGCAACATTGCATATTTAGCACTGAGCGTTGTTGCTTTCGGCTGGTCTCAGGCTCGCTAGTAGCAAGATTCACTGATTCACACACAGATGCAGAAATGGCTCCTTGAATACCATCTTCTCAAACTATCTTGCTGACCTTTTTTGTCCTGGAATAGGCCAAAGCGGGACATTCCTGCATGGTGAGTAGATGCAGACCAACAGAGTTTTTACATTTAAGCTTAAGTGATGTCTGTCTTGGCTTGAAGACATTGTCTCAACAAGCACTGTGCAAACCTACAATGCAATCTGTCTATACAGCCACAGCTTGTGGCTCTGGAGCCTCTGGAGAGATTAAATCTGTTGGCTGGGTTGATAACACCTTGGTGTCCCTCCAAAATAGCTGGAGGAGGTGGCTGAAGAGAGGGAGTTACTATTCTTGACCCGAATAAGCAGCAGAAAATGGATAAATGTAACACCTTAGAAATGTATTTGTTTTGTGATGTGTTTAAGTTGATGGTAATACCTGCCTGTTTAAAAGGCAGCACACAAGCAAAAAAAAGAAAAGAAATGTCATTAAAAATCATCCAAGAATCAAAAGATCCTCTTTAAATGTGTTTGTGGGTGCTGCAACACAATCTGGGTGGCTGACATATATAGGAAACCATAACACAGACTATGAATTCAGATGTAGAGCTCTGCTTATTTTCTGCATTTTGTGCTTTTCAGTTCAGAGGATGACCCCTTCCTGTTGTACGCTACTTTGCACTCTGGGAACCACTGTCGGTTTGTAAGCAGGGACCTGATGAGGGACCACAAGGCCTGCCTGCCAGATGGAACCACCAAGCGGCTCTTCTTCAAGTGGCAGAGAGGGCACCAACTGGTGGTGGACGGGCACGTCACGGCGGGCAGGAGGGTCCGATTTCAGGTGGAGAATGAGACCATGAGAAGAGAGGGTCAAGGCTCAAAGAAGGAAGCATCACAAAATTAACTCTGTTTTCGTTTGTGTGTTTTCCCAGAGTATTCCCAGCTATGACACCATTGTCCAAACCTCAGGAGGAAAGTCATGGCACATCCCTTATGATGAAACAGAGGACAGGAGCACCTATGAAGTACCACAACACTGGCTGTGTCTCAACAAAAAGCTCTGAAGACTGTCTTTTTTTTACAGTTTGGAATATAAAAAAAATGCTGGTACTGCAGACTTTTAATAAAACTGTGGACCTGTAAATAAACATTTACCATCACTGCAGTGTCTGTACTGTTTTAATCATATTTCAATTTAATATGATTAAATATTAGATAATAGGTACAGCCAGATCCATGGATATTTGAACAAGATGTACAACAAATGTAATTTTTCAAATTTTGGCTATGTGCATCCACTAACATTGGACTTTAAATAAAACAATTAAGATGTGATCGAAGTGCAGACTTATTACATTAACTGCTTAGGAATTACAGCTATTTTTATACACAGTCCCCCATTCACAGAAATACAATAAATAAATATCTCATATCCTGCTTGGAACAATTTGGTTTTTACTCAGAATATAAACCAAATACAAAAACCCAAACACTTTCTTTTAAAAATATTAACCAGAAGAAAAAAAAATCTAAGGAAGTACAACTTTAATTGTGCAGCACAAGTTTGAATATAATTTGAATTTTCTCAAGTTTCCAGAATCTATTCATAAACACAATCTCTCGGGAAACATTCCTTCTTAAAGGTCAAACGGGAAAAGAAAGCAAATCTAACAATCTTCATCTGTAGCTGGTGAAAAGGCCTTTTAGGAAAGAACTTTTAGGTTTTGTCTTTACTCCAAAAAGAAAATTGCACAAACGTCATATTCTGTAATTGTCAAGAAATATATTTTGATATTGTTACGAATACACCACCTGATTGAACTACTTGTTAAAAATAAAAATACAAAAACTACAGACAGTTGACCCGGATATGAAAGCTCTCGTCTGCTTCCGGTGCAGAATCGTGCCATGTTTTGCTTCTGTTTTTACCTCAGTTTAGTTTCAGATTCGGTCTAGACCACTTTACCTCAATTATTTCCTGCCGTCATGTCCCGGGGGTCGAGTGCGGGGTTTGACCGGCACATCACCATCTTCTCCCCGGAGGGAAGGCTCTACCAAGTCGGTCAGTAATAAGAGAACCGAACAGAACCTTAACCTGCTCTGTCATCACTGCCTGCTAGCAGGCTAACAGCAGCTACTCACAAAGCTCAAGGCTGATTAAATATGTCACCACAGGGCAGTGTGGCAAGAAAATAGCTATTATGAAAATTAATTAAATGTATTGAGACAGTTAATCCGACTTAACGGAGCAACTAATGAGTCATATCATTAAAGCAAAACATTTCAGTTAGCTGCAATTATAGACTAGTAAAAGCTAGCTAATAATGTATATAGGGGACTAAATTAAACGTTAGTTCTAGCTTAAGGTCCATACGGCCGGCAGGACCACGCATGCGCATGTGTTTATATGAGTATTGTTTTTATTCTAACAGCATCTCTCTAAAATTCTTAAAGCAGGGGAGTCGAACATGCAGCATGCATTAATGTGCATTAGTCATTTTTGTTCTTTTGCAGATCCACATCTCACCCTGTCGCTAGCATCCTACTCTGTCACACCAGATCTCTGCATGTCTTCTGTCACTGCATCCATGAATCCTCTCTGAGGTCTTCCTCTTTTCCTCCTGCCTGCTAGCTCCATCTTCAGCATCCTTTGTCCAATGTATCCACTATCTCGCCTCTGTACATGTCCAAACCATCTTAGCATTGCCTCTCTGACTTTGTCGCCAAACCACAGTCTGAGCTCTCCCTCTGATGTACTCATTTTTAATCTTCTGGGATGAAAATATGAGCATCTCCAGCTCTGCCACCTCCAGCTTGGCCCATTTTTTCAGTGTCTCCAAATTATACATCACAGACAGATAACAAAAAATTCAACAAATAACTGTAGTTTGGAAACTGAACTACAAGAACTTGAAAACAAAATTTCAAATTAATAGAAAGAAAAACACAAAATCATAATAACTCTAATAAATTATAAAGCGTTAATTTGTGTTTCTATTTAAAGGCTAAGTGAAACAAGGAAACTGTAAGCAAATGTAAAGAACTGAATAACATAACAAATAGTTTCCTCATTCTCTTGTGTGAGTTATAATTGCTTTCAGTTCAATCATGAAGCTATGGAAATATTTTGTCAAAAGAATCTGACATCGATGTGTTAGCACTGAAGAAAGAGAAGAAGCAAAATGAAAAAGAAAATAAGTAAAAGGTGCCTTTCTTTATCAGCACCTCAAAGAGTGATGTATTTGTGACACCAGGAAGTGAAATTTACAGGTCATTTAACAATCATCATCAATTTACTGATAAGAAGAACAAGTAGCTAGTTTGTTACTTTTTTAAAATGTTCAGTCATGAAGTTTGTGTATATTTCATTTTGCCTGCCTCTCTTCACTCTTCAGAGTATGCCTTTAAAGCGATAAACCAGGGCGGACTGACCTCTGTGGCCGTCAGAGGGAAGGACTGTGCTGTAGTCGTGACGCAGAAGAAAGTTCCTGTGAGTTTGCGTTTCTTTCACATTCGTGTGATCCGATTCCTAAAACGACATTTTGATTGGTGTATCGATGGTGGCCCGTGTGGCGAGTTCATCTGTTAGGGGCGCCTTTCTTTGTGTCTTCCTCAGGACAAGCTCCTGGACGCTGCGACAGTCACACACCTGTTCAAAATCACAGAGAACATAGGATGTGTTATGACCGGCATGACTGGTAAGCAGCAGGAAGCTTATTATCTACTCTTATTATGGGGCACAATGTTAAGCTTTTTTTCTCCAGTCTTCTTTGTTTCTTTTGTATAAAATAATAAGAAAATGGGCTGATTTGGCCCTGATGCAGCCTCCAGTGTATTAGCAGAGTTGTGATTTGGAGTTAAGGTAACAGATATACTCTATATTGCCAAAAGTATTCACTCACCCATTTGAAATCAAGGAATCCAGGTGTTCCAATCACTTCTATGACCACAGGTGTAAAAAATCTAGACATGCAGACTGCTTCTGCAAACATTTGTGAAAGAATGAATCGCTCTCAGGAGCTAGTCTTGGTAATATAGTGTAACTGAAGTTGCAATATACTCTCCTCATGATGTTGCAGCCGCACATTTTAGTTATCCTCTTCTTTCCTGCAGACTATTCAGAGTTACTGAGTTACAAATTATACTTCAAATAATGCAAACTTTTTCAGTGGCATGCAGCTGAGCTTGCAGAAGAACACAAGACATTTCCAGAAACTGCACATAAACACTTGCTTGAAATTTGAGACAGAGTGTATAAAAAAAAATGTGTTTTTTCAGTCGACAATAAAGGTTGTAGAACAAGGAAGAGCAGATTTAAGTACAGGAAAAAGACAAGACAAACAGCGCTGTATGTGAGTAAACAGATGATGGTCATGTGAAGCTTACATCTGTTTCTGTTTGTGGGTTTTATTTAAGAAGCGGCAGTGTTTAATATGAAAACTCAGGTCTGTCATTAAAGTGCCAGATTTAGTCACACATACATATATTCATCAATAATCTGTGGCAGGTTTATGGTTTATATTAAAAAAAACATTTAAGATGAAACTGCACACAAGCTCGTAAGAACTGAACACTAATAGAATAATAACATAACAGTGGGTAAAAGTCGCATGATGAAATCACACACTAAAGTACAAATGAATGGAAAAAATAATGAGACTGATTATTCCTGGTAAGCAGTGTCTCATCTGACTTATGTTCCACAACAGATGCTTGTACTGGAAAAACTGCTGATATGTGCAATTAAAACTAAACCACAAAGGTTGTACTGCTTCTTCTCCTGCTCCAGCACATCCTGGAGATTCCCAGTCTCGGGGCTGATGAAACCTTTAAGAGCAACATATTAAGACAACAAGTTAATGTCAGCCTCTGCCTACATAAAGTTTGATTTCATCTAATCATGAATCGGCAGTGGCACAGCTGGATGTGCACCAACCCAGAAAAACAATCAACAACACTGTGATCGATCTGCTTGGTAGTAAACGTGCTGTGTAAACACAGAAAATTAGAAAAATTAAAGATACTTTATTGATCCCACAAGAACAGAAATTCAAATAGTGTAATAAAAACAGCACGGTTAGAAGTATGCAAGCCCATAATGAAGGCATTATTATGTTAGGTAGCACAAAATTTTATATACAACAGTTATCCATCCATCTTCTCCAATTCACAGAGAGGGCCTGGAGCCTATCCTAGCGAGAAGTACATCTTGGTCAGGGCGCCAGTCTGTTACAAAGCTCACACAGAGTGACAACCATTCACACTCACATTCAAACCTAGGGGCAAATTAGAACTACCAGTTAACCTTATCCATGTAACTCCAAAGACTGGTAGATAGCCAACCTCTTGCCGCACACTAAACAATCCGAGCTTCCTCAGAAAGTAGAATCTGCTTATCCCCTTCTTGTACACTGCATCACTGTTGGTCCTCCAGTGCAGTCTGTCACTCAAGTTTACACCAAAGTACCTGTAGCTGTCCACATGATGTTAAGTCAACCCACATCTCTTTTGTGTTGCTGACATTCAGGAGGAGGATTGACATCTCTGGCTATAATATTATTAACTGTAATGCAATAATAGCAGTGTAGACATGGCATTTTCTCTTTTTCAAAGCTCTAGCAGTCCATGTAAGCACTCAGCCAGGAATATGCTCGAACACACAAGTGTAAGTGCCCACTATGGCGTAGCTCTGTGTTGATTCAACAAAGCTAAGCTGGAAAATAACTAACCTGTAACCTTAAACAGAGGTGGTAGAAGAACTCTTAATCAGAAGGTCCAGAAAGTCCCCACCATACAGTACTCCCTCGTTAGGTATAGATGTGATCCTGAGCTTATAGCCTTGTCTGTTTCCATTTACAGATTAAAGCTACAATAACTATTCCTAGTAAGCAATGTCTCATCTGACTCATCTCATGATCCACAACAAACCCTAGTATTGGAAAAACAATGCTGATGTATACAATTAAACTAAGCTTCCTGTTAAGACACCTAGCTCTTAAAAAGGTTGGCAGAAAGCTACCTCTAAGAGCCTGCTACCACTTCCAATGAGACCAACTTACCATATCATACCAGCTGTTAATTTTTTAAAAAGTCAAAGCACTTAAATAATTCTGGCCTCCAGCCCAAGTTACAGCTTCATCTGACCAGACTGATCCTGGATGAGCCCTCAATTTTTACAGAGGGAGACCACATGAGCTGTAACTAAAAATGTTTATATTACACAACTAAACAGAACTGAAACACAAATGAACATAGTCGGATCTCCTGCAGGGAAATGCCTGACCCGAGGGCTGTATCACTTCAAAGTAATTCATTTATTAAAACAAGCCCGTGTCCCATTAGTGAGAGAGCAAATGTTTTAAATGGCAGTTTAAAGTGATGTGAGCTGCTGTGACATGATTTTCTTTCCCTTCCTTCTGTCCAGCTGATGGCAGGTCTCAGGTGCAGCGTGCACGGTACGAGGCGGCTAACTGGATGTACAAGTATGGCTACGAGGTGCCCGTGGACATGCTGTGCAAACGCATGGCTGACATCTCCCAGGTTTACACCCAGAACGCAGAGATGAGACCGCTAGGCTGCTGTACGTAATTTGTGTTCGTGTGTGTGTGTGTGTGTGTGTGTGTGTGTGTGTGTGTGTGTGTGTGTGTGTTTGCATTTTGATATCACTCCATGTATTAAAACTGAAATTGAAACTTTTTTCAGAGCATTTTCTTAATGTCTGCAAGCTTCAGTTTACACAATATTTTGAAATCTGATGCAGAAAGTTGTTAAATTTCTCCTTTTTTTTGCGTGTCTAAAAATGTGGTGTGCAATGGGGCGATCGTGGCTCAAGAGTTGGGCGTTCGTCTTGTAATCGGAAGGTTGCCGGTTCGAGCCCCGGCTCCGACAGTCTCGGTCGTTGTGTCCTTGGGCAAGACATGTCACCCGTTGCCTACTGGTGGTGGTCAGAGGGCCCGTTGGCGCCAGTGTCCGGCAGCCTCGCCTCTGTCAGTGCGCCCCATGGTGGCTGTGGCTACAATGTAGCTTGCCATCACCAGTGTGTGAATGGGTGGATAATTGTGTATAGTGTAAAGCGCTTTGGGGTCCTTAGGACCAAGTAAAGCGCTATACAAATACAGACCATTTACCATTTTATATGACTTCTTTCTTTTCTTTTTTGTCCTCTCCTGTTTTCATTCCACCCTGCAGGTATGATAGTGATCGGGATTGATGAGGAATTGGGCCCACAGCTGTTCAAGTGCGATCCAGCCGGCTACTACTGCGGCTTCAAGGCCACGGCAGCCGGAGTGAAACAGACAGAGGCCACTAGTTTCCTGGAGAAGAAAGTGAAGAAGAAGCTGGACTGGACTTATGAGCAGACTATAGAGGTAAAATATACCAGAATACACAAAATAATTCCATATTCTTTTCTGTTGCACTGGAATTTTGTCCAAAAACGGCCCGGTAACGATGAAGGCTGCAGGGCGTTTCCACCCTATGGAGCTTCGGGAATGTTGGGGATTTTACAGGATACTTTCTGGACAGCCGAGTAAGGGGAGTTAGGTGATTTTTATTGACGTATCAGGAAATGTGTGTGAATTTTATAGCTGTGACTATGTGGGGTAATTTCAGTGAATTGCTTGGTGTTTTCCAAGCCAGTTGACGTTAGGGAAGGTTGTTGATTTTTGGAAAAAAATTCAAACAAGCCCTGTTGGAGTTAGAAATCAGTCTCTGAATGGTTTCCTGTGGTCTCTGAATCAAAAAGATACTGACTTATTGAAACCCTCTTTAATATGGTAGAGTATTTATATCAGAGGTGGGTACATGAGAAACTGGGACTGTTGTCTTCCATTAGCTGAACTCAGTTGCCCACCCCTCGTATGTATGTATGTATGTATGTATAATAAATGCATATATAATAACTTTTTTCTTTTACTTTAATTTTCTGTATCATGTTTAAATATGAAGTTCTCCCCTTTGTCTCCAAACAGACGGCTATCTCATGCCTGTCTACTGTTCTGTCCATCGACTTCAAGCCCTCGGAGCTAGAGATCGGAGTCATCACGGCACAAGAGCCCAAATTCAAGTGAGTGTTTTTCTGAAATAAAGCTTCTCGATAGCTTTGAGTAAGAACGTGATCTTGAGTCAGCCACTGCATCAAATTAGTTTTGCAGAACGAAGCGGGCCGTTGCTGATTAAAAAGTTGAAAGCGTTAAAACGCCGGTAATGTGTCGGCTGTGTTGTGTTATTGCTAAATAATTTGAGAAAAAAAGGCCGGTGTTGTAATGGAAATTCCCTAAAACTAAAAACAGCTAGAGGTTGAGATCAAAGCAAGGGCTTACATGTGGAGCTTGTTCTCGATATATCCGTATGTGTGTTGGCAGAATGAAAAAGTATGACCGTATAACTGTGCGTTTGTGTTCCAGGATTCTGTCAGAGGCCGAGATCGATGCTCACCTGATGACTTTGTCTGAGCGGGAGTGAAGCGGTTTTATAAGAAGGGATGATAAACAGTAAAAAGCATCAACACACAATATTTCTCAGCTGGAAGGAAGATGAAGGAGGAGCTGGTATCATCTTCTTCAAAAAGAGATGAACAGTAACAGATAACCCCACCCCCACCCCTCCATGCTATCTGGTCACAAACAGGACATGATATTATCCATGTACCCAAACCCCTGCCCCCTCCTGTGTTTTCCTTCTGCAGCCAGCTGCTAAATGTCTCAGATCGTGGACGGGACATTCAGATCAGTCCCTGACGTGACACATAAAGTGTGACGTGGCAGCTGATGTGACAGACGGCCGCAGCGCAGCAGCTCAGCCTGAATGACTTCACCTAATGAGTGTGACATGAGCAGATTGGAAGGTGGAGGTGTGGTAACACTACAACTTACAGCACAATACCTCTTAAATGTGGACTCAGTGGTCCTGTAGCTTCACTGTGCTCGGCAGTGCTTCCTGACCATCTTTTCTCAGGGCTACCACTTACATATGTGTCTCTCTTCTTCAGTGTTTAAGCTTTCCCCTCTGCACTGTCTTCAGTTTCAGGATGAAATTCATGCTCTGTACTCGATGATAACCCAGGGAACAGCTGTGGGAATTCTCCTACAGCAGCGGGTCATTGTCACACCCCTGTTTAAATCTGCTCAGGTCACTAGAAAGCTGGTGTTTTGATCTACCTGCCCTTCTGCTGCAGCTGCTGTACATTTCCACACTTCTATTAAACACACTTTTTATTTAACACAGGTGTTTGATTCTCTGCGCACATTCATTCCTGTCTGACGGCTCTTAGCTCTCTCGAAATTACTCGACAGAGTGTACAAGTGAGAATGCAAATGTCTGAACAGTCAGCTTCCACAGTAAACGATCTTTACTATGCCTGCTTCCTGATACAAAGCGAGTATCATGTACCCATACCCACAGTTTGTTTACACCCAGTGAGAACTGCACCTAATGCAAACGATTATTGTGCTGCATTCTGCTTTGCATTAATTTGATCGTTTCGCCTAACAACACATCTTCTTTGAAAATGTATTGAATCCACTATTTTCTGATGTCTGGGAGAAATTATTTTAGATAATCACGATCTCTGTGTTTAACAAGATAATTGGGATTGGGATTTTTGCCCCAATTGAGCCGACTTTTGCTGTTTATTTCCAGTACTGGAAACGCTCCTGCCGCGGTCAATCGCTTTGCACATATCGCGACCTATGTGCCCACTCAGCAGCGCCATTAGACCGAGTACTCTCACGCTTACAATGCCCACTGCTGTCTGTGTGTTAAGTCTCATGATCAGCCTTTTGTGGGTACAAAGTAAACAAGCACTGAGGCACCGTTTACTCTGGTTAGGCTGAAAATGGAGCAAAGTTCAGGCAAAAGAACATGTGAGATGATCCATTGTCGTTAATGGTCTGGATACTTGCTTTTAAAAAGTGCAAAGCCTAAGCTTGATGTCCACACTGAAACCTTTCTTTCTCTTTACTTTTCTGAAGCGTTCAAGCATCTGTAAGGTGTAGTACGCAACGTGAAAAACACAATATTATACTTTGTGCTCCATGCCAATTATTTAAAAGCTATGGTTAGTGTTTTAAACATAAATCTGCTGATATTTTATGCCGTATGATTACAGATGAGGCCACCCAGCAGAATACCAGTCCATAAAATCAACATTACTACTTTTACTCGAAGTGTACATGGTGAGTAATAATACTCACCATGCATTTTACATTTGACTGTAGCTATTGATTCATTAATATGCCTATCACTTTAATATTGATTTTAAAGTGTTGTCTGCTGTTGAGTAGATGTACAGTACATTAAAACTGTACTGGTCCAGTTCATTCTCCCTGTTAAGTGATAACACATCTACCCTGTTTCTGTTTCCAGATTTATCCTGCGCTCAATGAGGCTTTTGTCTTTTTAAGAACAGCTCATTCAGTCGTTTTGATGCTAAAATGTTTGTCCTGTTGAGTAAGAATGTGACTTATAGCCTAAATACCCTTTTTTTAAAATTTTATATCTCTTAGCAGAAGACTTATTCAGTAGAAAACAATTAAACTCTTGTGCAGCATCATTCTTCACGTAATGCTTGTGTATTAAGGTGCAGGGCTGCCCTCTGACGCAGTATTCTGATATGTTGCAGGCTCCGTGGCCATCTCCTTTAAAGTCCTGGGTTGCCTTGTGGACCAAGGTTTACTATAAACAGTCTATAAACATGAACTTTAGTTCATGTTTTCTTTTGCGTAAGGGAGGGGAAAATATTTCATGTCTGCTAAAGTATTAAAATGTAAGGTTTAAGCACAATTCTGCAGTAATTTAATGACAGTGGATATTTATTTTACACGCAGCTCCCTTCCTTCCCAACTTCTGTCACTTGACTTCAGCATCCTGTTGTTCCTGTTCTTCGGAAGGTGAATGACAAGCAGGAATGTCGCCAATAGCTGAATTGTTCCGTTCCTGGGAATTTCCTGTCCCTTCCCTCTTAGCCACACCCTCCAGAAAAACTTCCTGATTTAAATGACAGGGCAATTGACCTCATTACACACACAGAAAAATTCCCGAAGCCTCTTATCTATACAAACACACACATCTAAAAGGAGGAATTCGCAGCTCAATTGACTACCAGTTCCTCATTCAGTGGAAAGGAGTTATCAGCGCTTTCCTGTATTATATGAAAATCAGAAAGGGAAAAAAGAAGTGTCCGGTCAGGAGTGAAGTTGAGCTGTCATGCTTTGATGGGAGCGTTTATACGAGCAGACTGAGTGACGGCAGCAGGAGGCCACGTGGTTACATTCATTTCCCGTGTAATTGCAGATTTTTATTGCCGTCAGGCGCTGCCGATTACGATTACACGCCATATACGACTACTTCTGATGTCTCGTGTAAAAATATTCCCATCCCAACAAATAACATGGTCACACAGGAGGCTTTCACTGTTAAATATGAGTGTTTTAATTTAATGGAGTGTGCTGAACCCATTTGCTGTCTCACATATACAACCTGCTCAACTGTACACATTCACAGCTTCCATAAAAAATACATCTTTGTATACACAGCATTTACACTATCATACAGCAGAGCTGCTGGAGGAACATCTTCACGTATGTATGGACGTCCACAGAATACAAGCGATCCATCCCGTCATTATGTGTCACATGCGATCATGCAGTCGCCGGCAGTCTGTTTAATTCTTCCTGCTCAGCTGCCTGGAAGCGGTCACGTCACCTCGCTGCATCGCCCGACCCCATCGTTGTCATCCACGTCACAGCAGAAGTAAGGAACGTGCCGTGCCCCCCCATCCGTCCATCCTTCACCGTCACAGCCTCTGGTCTCTGTCACTTCCCCCGCCCTCTCGCTTCCTGCTAATGTCCATTCCACTGAATGTCATCGTAATTCACCTGCAGACACATGGGAGGAAATAGAAATGGTCACACACCCAACTAGTGACACACTTCATTTGTGCCAGACCGGCTGTACGATTTTGAAACGTACCTCATCGTCAGAGTTCATGTGCTCCTCTTCGTCACTGTCGTCTGACTCGCTGTCTGGCAGCTCCCTCAGGTCAGGATGGGTCACAGAGTACAGCTCTTTGTTGATTTCCCAGTTATCCAAACCAATGGTGAGGTGATAGGGGCTGTGGCCCCCGAAGCTCAGGAGGTTTGGGTTCGCTCCTTTTTTCAGCAGCAGTTTGACCAAGAGGAGATTCTGTTGGTCCACAGCCAGGTGGAGCGCGCTGCGACCGTTATGCTGCTCCTGTAAAACAGCAAGGAGGCAAAGGCATTAGTATTAACAAAGAGACTAACAAAGACTAACAAAGAATTTTTTTATTTTTCCCATACAGAAGAGGTGTAAGTTACCTTTGCATCAATGTCAGCTCCCAGATCTACCAGTCTCTCCACCAGTGAGAGGAAACCCTGCACTGAAGCCAGGTGGAGGCAATTTTGACCTGCACAACACAGAAAAGGAAAAGAAAAATTAAAAGTTGATTCCAGAGCGAGACTGCAACAGGAAATACAAAGATGTATTTCCATATTCTTTTGTTATTCTTAGTAATTAGCAAAAACTGCTGGGTGTGGGTTGTGAAACACATGCATTCATATCAATGTTCTTTTTTGGATTTGATTTACTGTCTTTTTTAACCCCCCAAAAATACTGAGTATGCACGGCAGTGCTTAACGGAAAAATGTTTACACAAAAGTCTTAAAGAGAGGTGTCCACCTTTTTTATTTAGACATTAACTACTGCATAATAGGTTGGGTTAAGCTCCTCTTGGTCACTTAACTGCAGTCTTCGGGGCTAACTAACAGCAAGTGGACCCAAAAACTAAAATGTTAACGTGTCTCAGGCGAGGAAAGCATCACTTACCGTTATAGTTGCAGGCAGCCATCGCCGTGTGTAGGTGCTCTGGTCGGCTTTTCTGTGTGATGACGCTGAAGCAGTGCAGGTTACCGTGGCGACAGGCAATGTGGAGAGGCGTGTCTCCATTGTTGTCCACCAGCGTGGGGTCACAGCCGGACACCAGGAGGTTGAGACACACCTCCGGCTGTTTTGTTATTACCGCCAGGTGGAGAGGAGTCTGGAGAGGGACAGGTATTTTAGTAATGTCATGATGGCGGATGCAGGTGGGGTGTTAAGAGCTGTGTTGTGCATACCTGTCTCAGGTCATTCTGTCTGTTGAGGAAGTCTGTGTTTTTAGACTGGTCGATCATGGTTTTGATGAATTCTTTGGCCTCATGGATGATTGCCAAGTGGAGCAGCCTGCAGAAACATAAAAATAAAACAATTTAAGTAACAAACCAAAGATAAAAGCAAATTTTACACAACTTCGTGCCTTTTCGTCTACGTCAGATACAGTTACAAAAAAAGTATTAGCTATGAAGAAAACACTCAATTATTTTCATAAATATTTGTAATAATAAATTTACAAGGAAAAAAAACTTATTTTACACCTAAATAGAGTAACTTCCTGTGATTACAGTAAAATTGTGTAACTGTAAAACTTAAATGATTGATGTAACAGCTTCAGTTCAGAAGTGTCCCTTTGTTCTCTAACTTGGCTTTTATGCTTTTGTTTGATTTGGTGTAAAATACTATAGTGCTGCATAGAGAGTTACATTTGTTACACAAAAAAGAAAATGCACTCACTCAACAAGAATGGCCAATAGAAACATGTCTTACATAGGGGTGTCATAGTAACTGTTTATCAACGGTAATCCAGGGTTTTTCCAGATTCTTGTGAGGGTGACTTTGCTTACATGTAATCTCTCTTATCTTAACAAGTCTGCATTGTCCAGATCTTTCTGGTTTACTGATAAACAAAGATGGACTTTTATTACAAATTTTTTCTTTTTCTTTTGGGGAATGCCATTTTTTGGTGGGTACCAATTGCTTTTTTGTGTCTGCTTTTACTTTCAATAATATGTTTGCAGGAAAATAATTAGAATGTTTAAAATGTATTTTGCCTTTCAGAAAACTTAATTTGAATTATTATATATTATGTGTCAGTGCTATACTTTTCTTTGAATTTGTGCAACAAACATAAGTAAACAAAGGTTAAGCATCTACACTTGCATCACTTTTTAAAAAAAAATACAAACCTATTCCATTTGCCTGTATAATTTTGGCATAAAAGTACTTCCATAAATTTCCGGTACTCTGCTTTGATTATTTAACTTATCTCTGGCCCAGTGTTAATGCGCGAGCAGTAAGCCCATTTAAAACACTAGGAACTATATTCATCTGCGGAGGAACTTTGTTAAAATAAAAGTTGGGTTTCGGGGACTGCTTTGTTATTCCCCTTGAAATAAATGTCAATAATAACTCGTACGCGCCTCTTCGAGAATCGGGTTTCGCCCCCAGTGTCCGCTCACTGCATTTAAGGTACTTTTTTCACATTTTTCTTTTCATCCTCTTTCACTTCTCGGGAACGCGCGTCGCTTGGATTCCTTGGTGACGCGCCCGGGACTTTCCCAATCTGACCCGCGGCCATAATAGATTCCCTCCTGATAATAGCCTTTTGTTTACGTCCAGCAGCGCCGTGTCTGACCACAGGTTGACCCGTTCTTAATAAAACCGGACACTCGTTCGGTACCCCTAAAATCTTGGCTACTTAAAAATTAATCCCCCACTCGAGTTAAGGTAGGCCTCACTTGGAGCAGAACTACATTCCCCACAGGAAAGGCATCAAATTACCTCCAAGACCCGAGCTGGGCCTTCTCCTAGCCTCACTGTTGCACCCCCCCCCGAAAATAACTGGTAAACATCCGAGCTCGGTAACCTTATTCCGGGTCAAACTTACGTGTCTCCGTCTTCTGTGATCTGTGTCTGCCACTCGTACAGCTCTCGGGTTGCAGCGGGGAGCTGCTTGTGCTCCGGCGCCTCGCATTCCAGCTGGAGCCGGCGGATCTCGGCGGCCACAGCCTGGTACTCCTCCTCCTTCAGGGAATCCAAACCGCTGTCGAGCCGATCCTCCGTGGCCTGAGCCGTTTTCCCTTCTTTTGAATCCCGACTGTAATCCATTTGGTTTAATATACTGGTCCTGTGAAGATCCATGTTAGTCCGAGGTGCGTTCAGTTGTGTTTTCCGACAGCGCTGCACTGCAGTAAATGCCCTCTGCTCTGTGGCTGCAGCGGGGCGGAGCTAACAGCTAGGTGGGGGATTTCCAGAAAACTGTCACTTAGAATAACACAGCACACAGATTGCTGGCTCCAACAGGGGATTTCTGTTGAGACACATATAAAATACACTAGTCAGTTTGTCACAGGGAGAGCGAAAATACTTCTGCAGGCTGCATGTTGTGCGCATAAATCATACAGCCTTCAGGGCATTTCACATTCCTATAGACTTATTAATTATGTGAGTAATTGGATTTGGATGCATGCAACATAAAGTCATTTCTTGGTCATGCAAATTGATTAAATCAAAGGTTTTGCACCTCACCAGTGAAACTGCCCAACACCACACATCTTTAGATGTAATTCTTCAAGAAAGGGAAATTTTAGTTGGGCATTTGGTGTTATGAAAATAATGACGATAATAAAAAAAATTAACATGGAGCTCGGGGAGGTGAAGAATATTCAGAGGAAAATCTCAGAAATTCCCAGATTAAAGCAGTTAATTTTCAAGCAAAAGTACTTGTGTATTTTCTGAGATTTAAGTGGTAAACTGAGAAAAATACAAATGCACGTTAACCCCCACCCCAAATTTTCTAGGTTTAGAGTGGCACATTTAAGGGGAAAAATTAGAATATTCTGTTTGATTTAGGAGTAAAAACCTGGACATTTTCTGGGATTTAAAGTGGTAAATGTGAGACCACTACACACACACACACACACACACACATATATATATATATTTGTTAAGAATCCACATGGCTTAAGTTTCCAGTCAGGCTTATTATGACTGCAGTTGGTAAGCTCATCAAATTATACTGCAGTCTGACTGAGCAATAAGGAAATGCCAGTGATTTTCGCTCTGAATTACCACCGTACAGTCAGAAACAAGGACTTTGTGATTGGGGCCAACAGATTTGACTTCTGTGCATCAGTTTTTGTTGCAAATCCACTGTGTAACGAGAATCATTTTATTCCAGGTTCTTCTTGTATATTTATGTTTTTAATCCTGGATTATTTTTAAGGTTTTTCTCCCTCTTTAAAAAAGCCCCTAATGCACCATCTTGAATGTGTCCCAGATGTTAGAAGCACAGTTTTAAAAGTTTAATATCTTATAGTTGAGTTCAGATCAATGTGTGTTTTTCTCTTGATGCACGCATGCAAACGCCTTCAAGTGCACCTTCATTAGCATGCTTCTGCTAAACCGCTCGACAGAAGCAGCAGACCTGAAGGAGGGAGCGAGGGAGGGGGGCTGCAGCAGACAGTGGTGGTACAGGAGTTTCCTTCAAAACTTTTGAGTGTGACCGCCCTGTGATTTCACTTCATTTATCATATGGTAACATAGTGTGATGAGCACAAACCAGCACGCATGCTAGCGGAGTTTCCCCAACATCCTCCAATCCTGACCACATGATCAAGTGTTGTTCTTACAGTATACTTTATTCCAAAGTAACACTGACATTTTTAAGGATACTTCTACTTGTTGTGTAATCCTAATTTTAACGCATACATAGGAAAAAAAACAAGTTTCCTGCAAGCATCAAGGTCAGAGATTACAAGCTTGCGCTAATAACTCTACTTAACATCCTGTTAAGTATTTTTAAACTACTGAGTGATGTGTCTGCAGATGATTTTTTTAAGGCGAATCAAACTTCCTCAGACTGCCTCTGTGCCTTCAGTAACTAAGAATGAAATCCCTCCCTCCATTCTCCTGCAGATAAACTGGAAGGACTCCAAGTTCTGGATAAACCCGCGAGACTCAACGAGGCTTCGACCTCTCCCTTTAAAAACAGACGACAGGCTGAACGTGATGTTCTGGAGGCCTCGGGGAAACTCCAGGCTTGTTTTACCTCCTATTGTTCCGTCTATGTGACCAGTTAGACGGGGAACCTCGTGGTCTTTGCTCTCTGTGCAAAAACTGTCACATTAGCAGCTGTTGTTATGCAGCATTGTTTGCAGTGCATCACGTTGTGCATACATATTTTGGTACGTTTTACAAGTGATCTACAGTGCATGTATGTTTTAATGTTCTGATGCGAGAATGGAAAAATTACAGAAACCACAAACAACAAAAGCCGCAGGCACACCCACAGTTGACTGCATGTACATGCTTTTTATGTAGACCACGGCTATTTTAGTTACCTAGAACTTAAATAGATACTAGGCATGAAAAACATCTTTATCAACTTAAATTATAAAGGTTTAAAGGGAGCATTTTCAAAACTAAACTAAATTAGAAATGTGCAGGAACGGTCTTTTGTTTTATTCCTGCATGATGGGGCTTTAATGCATGTGTTTACTGAGAGTGTGAAGGAAACTCAAGGCTTCTGCCAATCCAGTGTGGACTTATTCTAATCTGTATACAGTTTTGGCCAAGATGCACGCCTTACCCGAATGAGTAAGAGGAGTAGACTGGCTGTGTGCCTCGCTTCAAACTAATACTTAGTTGACCTTGTTACATTTGGCCTCTGACAAATACTCCCACATAATAACAATACAAGAGAAGTCAAAGCCAAAGCTGAAACTAAACTGAAAGCAGTGAGTGAGCCCACTCTGGTGTGCACTGTCCATCGCAATCAGCTTTGAATGCTAGTGATAAAAAGTCCCCAGCTTGAACCATAATAAAGCAGATAAATGCAGGAAAGAAATGCACTATAGCTGACACAAAATAACACGACAAAACAAAGCTGTTTTTCACATGTGTGCATGTGTCAGATCACACCTTTTATCGATTTTTACATTTACAAATTTACCGTTTCTGTCACATCCCGGTGTATCAACAGTGACGGGAAGCTCTGAGCTGCTTTTTATTCTTTAAATCCTGATATGCGTAGCTATGATTAGAATGAGTGCAACTTACTCACTTTGACTGGAAATCAGTCAGATTAAACCAGTGCGGCTCTGCTGACTGGAAGCTGTGTTATGTGACACTTTGAGACAAGCAACATTTAAAACAGTACAAAAAAATTCCGAAATGTTTTTAGACATTTAATTAGCCGCCTGAGATGCAGAAGAAGTACATGGAAATGATATTCCTGGATTTCTCCGTGCAATCTGTGTGTTTTTTCAGGCTTTTCTAATTTCAGCAGGAGTTATCAGCATTCGCCCAGATCACCTCCCTAAGGCTAAAATGTACTTTTTAGTGGGAAACCTGGGGGAAGAAAGGTGGCGTCATGTTGTCAAAGCTCTGATAAGCTCTGTTTTTATTTCATTAATGGCTTTGTAAGAGAGGGATGCACCTTACCACAGACCTCCTTCACTATAAAATGGATAAATGGATCATGATACCTCACGGAGACAGAGTTACTGAGGCCCGACCCTGGTGCCAGGTTTTGTGAGTGAGCGCCTGGTACTTCCTCCTGAAACAGCCACGGGGGCCTTTAAGGGTCCAGTGCTCATGGGGGTTTGATGATCACCCAAACTAACTGTTGCCAAGTTGTCGTTCCAGCCTGATTTAACAGACCTGTGTGCAACATTTTTAACATAACCATCATAGTAAATGGTAAACTACACTTTGGTAAATAGTAATTTACTGTAGGTGTTGTTAAAAGGCCATTGTGGTCAAACATTTGCATCCACTTATCATGGGCATGGATTTTATGGTCATTTTGAGCTTTTAATGATTTCTTTTAACAGTTCTTTTTCGAGGGTGGAAAGATTGGTACGCCTTAGCAAGTTGCACTGCCAAGAGACACTTTTGATAGCTATCAACAAGCTTTTTGTATAAGTCTGGCTTATTTGACCGCTCTTCTTGGCAGGATTGGTAGAGTTTATTGAATCATGGCATGGACCTGGCTTTTAAACATAGTTCACAAACTTCCAATAGTGTTGTGGTTGGGGTTTTTGGAAAGGCCATTTCAGAAGTTTAATGTTATCCCATTTTATCCATTCTAAAACCAGTTTTTATGTGTTTGGAACATTGTCCTGCTGGAATCGTCAATTATGGCTGTTTCAACCATCCTGCTGTTGATTTGAGGGGAAGTTGAAGAAATCAGAGGTAGGGGTGACACATCCAAATAACTTACACACAGTTGTTTGAGCTAATGACCGTGGAATCTGTAGTTGTTTAGAAATGGCCCAAAGAGACATTCCCAACTTGTGTAAATGTACAATTCTCCTTCGGTCTTCAGTGAATTCCTTGGATTTTCCAAAGGAATATACCAATTAAAGATGTATGTTGCACTGTTTTCACTCTGGAAAAAAAACAGCCCAAATAAATAATTGACATGCATGCCCACGATGAGTCTACGTAAACTTCTGACCACAAATGTAGGTGGAAATGCAAAGTGGAGTTACAAAATACATCTTGTATTATATACACACAACTCCTTTGGTTTGTTTACATTCTTTTCTTGGAAATGATTAGCCAGCACCTCCTTTCCAATGCCATCAGATGAGGGAGCAACATGTAGTTTATCTTTTCTCAGTCACAAAAAGGCAAGATTTTATGAACCTAATTTTTTTATGAACCCGACCACCTAATCCAACACGTAGTCTGAAAGCCACACAAAAACACACCATCTACAGTTTTCCTCTGAAATAATCTTTTTGAAACTAGCCCTATTCTGTTTGATTAGACAATAGAGATGGCAGAGTACTTCCACAGGTCAAAAGTGGTCCTGCATAAAAGGAAGTGAGATAAAACAGTGCCAAATATTATGGCATCCTCATTTGTCACCTCAGCGTTTCTCTTGGTTACAGTAATGATAACAAAAGCAGACCAAACAAAACATGAATGTGGTGGAAGGACAAGGAATAGTGGCGCCAGTTCCTGGCAATCCAGTTTGGCCTGAATTAAAAGTAAAGTTATTATACACTACTAAAAAAAAGAAAATTAAAGAACCACTTTTCAATGAAGAGTACAGCATCAGTGAAACCTCTAGGGTAGCAGAGGGGGTTGTTAATCAACCACCTACTTTTCTGACTGTGTTTTCAATAGTTTTGCAGTTATTTAGGGTCAGTGTTACTACTGGTAGTGTGTGGTGATACCTGGACTCTTCAGAGGTTGCGCAGGTAGTCCAACTCCTCCAGGATGGTACATCAATACTGG